CAGACCCTCACTGGGCAGCCCATGGCTGGCACACTGGTCATGGCCTCGTGCCCAACTTGCGTTATGGAAGGCTGGCTGTGAGTGTCCCAAAGTCCAGCTCCATGCCAACGGGCGCGCTGGCTTGAATCGGGGCCTCGCTGGGTAGGTGGTGAGGAGGAGGAGGGGAGGCGATGTCCCCATCCCCTGTGTTATTGAATTTGCTTAAGGCAGGGGCATTATTGATTATTCCAACCGGGGGTACCACCAGCTTCTAGTGAGTAGAGGCCAGGGAGGCTGCTACAGTGCAAGGAGAGCGCACCACAAAGGGTGGCCCGACCTGAGCGTCAGCAGTGCAGACACCGAGAAGCCCTGGCCCAGAGCAGCTCAGGGGGTCTCAGCCTTGCCATTGAGAGGTCTGGCTCCAGAGCAGCACTCTCAGAAGGTGTGTCTGAGTTGCCCAGAAGGAAACCACTGCCCTGGATTTGGAAGTATGGTGTTGTCGAGCTCAATGGATGAACTGGACCACCTGTGCTCCCACAAGCATGGGGGGAATCGGGGGCAGCACACCCCGCACAGTGGCCACGGTGATTATCAGTGCACTGTGCAGGGATGGACAGGCCTCCCCCATGCTTTATGAGAGCTGACGAGGAGCCAGAAAAGATGCAAATGAGTGGCCAGCCAGTGTTGACAACCCTTTCTCAAATCCCTGATGGCGTCCCCAGCCAGGACTACTGAGAGACAGGGTCAGCCGCCAATCTCACCGTTCCCAGCAGGGTGCCACTGTCCTGATCGGTTACCTTAGTTCTGCGTGGCTCGACGTGTCTCCTCCAGGGCAGCCAGCGCTTCCAGACACCCTGCAGGCTCAGCAGTATTCTCATGTTCTTCTCACAGGTACGATCAAGCCATACCCCCATGGGGATCCCAACCCACTGTCCTTGTAACCTAGGTAGGGGACTGGAGTGCACAAAGCCAAGACCGTTGCTCTGATTACGCTCGGCCGGCAGTTTTGGTACCAAGGAAATGTTTTTTTGTTTTATGTGTCTCATGTTGCCATCGCCCGAAACTGCCACACCCTGTGCAGGCGGCCACACTCACCCCAACTTTGTACAGGTGTGTGTGTGTTGGACCCTCCCCAGGAGGGAGGGAGGATCACTTACCCTAATGCCGCCGTGTCAGCAGTCGTTTCTTAGGCCTGCCTGTCCACCCTCCCAGTGAAGGGAGCTAAGAGGAACAAGTGGACTGCTGTGCTTGTTAAAGGCCTCATACGGCCAGAGTCATGAGCAAAAGGGCCCGGGCAGACAGGAGCCCCAGAGTACGTCCCCACCTCCTTCCTGACTCATCTCCAGGTCATGCCTGGGGTGTCTACCCTCTCTCTGTCAGGTCTCCTCCTCTGCCAAATGGGGAAGGAGGTTACTGTCACTATGGACAGGATGCTGGAGAGCCTGCAAGAAGTGAAAAGGTGCTCCACTCTGCCTGCCAAGAAATGTCACCACGGGAGCTCCCTTCACCTTTTCCTTTCCCACAAGAAAAATGCGCATCTGAAGCAGTCACGCATGCCACAAGTCGGCCTCCTGCTGCCCCCGGACAAGGCAAATCCGGCTTTTCCTATGGCCACACACTCGGGAACAAATAATGACAGAAATGGGAAACACCACAACTGCCACAGAGAAAAGAAGGAAAGGAAGGGAGGGAAGGAGGCGGCCAGCCACCCTCCTCAGAGGAGAGGTTACCGTGCACATTTCTGCCGCCTTAGGCGGAAGCAGTCCCGGGAGCCTCTTTGCAAGTCCTCCAAGGGGAAGGCCAGGCAGGGCCTGCGCACCTACACCCACTCCCCAGTGGACACCTGCAGACCAGGCTCCTGACTCACCTTGTTCTGTGGTGGAGGGCCTGGCTTGCTGCTGCTTGGAGGGGCCGTGGCAGCAGTGGACAGGAACATGCTTCGGAATAGCCTACGCTTCAGGCTGCTCTCCTGGGTCTTAGGGCTAGGGCTGCCTTCCCCACCTGGCCTGCCTGTGGCTGAGCCCACCAGGCAGGACTGTGGCCGGGCCTCCTCAGAGCCATGCTTGGCAGCCTTCATTCCACGCCTACCAGTGGTTGTAGGGGGTGAGGCTCCTGGTGGGGAGCTCTGCAGGCAAGCACCCAGCTGCAGACAGCGCTGTGAGGCACCCTGAAATTCGGCGGGGCCCAGGGACTGTGCCTTTGCAGCCAGCCCATTGGGCAGGACCCGTGGGCTCTGTGGCTCGGGCCACGGCATCTGCTTGTGGCCTGCTGGTGTGCCCCCGTTGCAGCTGAGGTAGAGGCCGTGGGGGTCAGTGCGCTCAGACTGGGGACTCTGGAGGTACATGTCTGGGTCGGTGGCCCAGTGCTCATCCCCCAGCAGCCCCAGGGACTGTGCCCGCCGCCGGCTGGTGGGACTGCGGCCGCGCAGGGTGTTGGAGCTGATGACCGACAACTTCTGGATGTCGTTGAGCAGCCCCGAGATGTAGCCATCCACTGGCACCGCGCTGCCCCGCACCACTGTCTGTAGGGGGAAGAGAGAAGTATGTGGGAGCCGCCTGACTGTGGCAGGGAGGGGCAGCCGGGAGATCAGGGTCAGAGAATGTCCTTGGGGGCCCTGGGGAGGACTGCCTAAAGACCTTCCCTGCTGTGTCGTCCACCCATTAAGTTTTCCATAATTGATCAGGGCCACTGTGGGTCCCACCTGTGCTGGATGCAGGGCTGCGGGGAGAAGGCCCAGCATCGGCAGAGCAGATGGTGAGTGCCATGGGGCTGCATCCGGCATGCCCAGGGCTGTGGTCGGCTGGGCCAGGGAGCTGAGGCTCAGGGGGCGGGGCTCCATTCTCTAGCTCCACGGGTGGCTGGGAGAGAGGTGCCCAGCCCACTGAGGAAAAGAGACCAGGCCAGGGGGCTGCTCCACACACACTGGCGTCGTGGCCTCCAAACCCTGATAGGGCCCCTGATCCCAACTTCTGCCAGGCTCTTGGGTCTACTAGTCCTGACCCTCACAACTAAAATTCTCCTGGTCTGGGAGAGCCCTCGGTCCTTATGGGGCTGCAGGTCCAAATATTGAATGGGACATGTCCTAAAAGACTATTCGTTGTCATCTGAAATATCGGTGCAATTGAGCATCTTACATTTTCATGTGCTGAATCTGGCAACCCCACCACCCTGCAGAGGGGGTCTTCCCAGGCTCCTTCACCCTGGCTTACCCAGGGAGAGAATGGCAGGCTGACAGGCAGGGAGTTAAAATGGCTGGTGAATTGATAGCTGTGAAGTAGGTGGTTCCTCCAGGGGCCTTTCTGAAGTTTAGCCAGGCATGGTTGTCTGTGCACTGGGAGAGGCTGAACCTCATCCCTGCCTGCCCCTCTTACCTTCATGGGCTGGAGCTGCACCCGTGTGATTCGCGAAGGGTCCACCACGGGCTTGGGGCGCCGCAGTGTGTCCAGGATGTTCTGCCATTGTGGGGGAAGGCCCACAAACTTGCCTTCTTTGGGGTCGAAGGAGGTGTGGACACGGTGCTGGAAGTTCTGTGGGGCTGAGATCTCAGGGCGTTTCTTCTTTTTCTTGCGGAACATGGTGCCTGTAAAGGTAGAGTCAGGTCGAGCTCCTGCAGGAAAGAGGGGTGGCTGCAGCAGGGCTGGGGCACCAGGCTCAGGCTACCTCCCCTCCCCCAGCAAAGCTCCCCTAGAAGCCTAGGGCTTCCCTCCACCTTCATCTCTGCTTCCTCAAGGAAATGGCTGGCTCCCAGCAGAACAGTCCCAGAAACAACAAAAGCGCCATAAATAAGCCAATGCAGACTATAAACAAGGAAAAGGTGTCTTCTTGTCTGTGCCAAGTCCCCTGCAAGCAGGCAGACTCGGGGCGTGTGTTTTGATAAAATCCAAAGCCCATTACAAGTATCATTCCACTGTCAACGAATTTTTAAAAAGGGGGAAAGAGGGAGGAAAGTTAGCAAGCTTGTTTTATGAAACGAGTATGACCTTGATTCTTAAAACCAGATAAGGAGAGTACAAGAAAGGAAAATTTGACTCAATATCATTTAGGAACATAACTATGAAAATCTTAAACAAAACTGTCACATTGAATCCAACAGTATATTAAAGTTATTTTTTTGTTGGCTTTTTGTTTTTTTTATTACAACTCAGCTTTGTCCCAGGATGGCTGAACCTGTTAATATGATACATTAATAAAAAACCAACCAGCTGATCACAGACATGCCGCCTGGGCTGGGAGTATTATGCATCAGGGAGCCCCCAAAGGGCCTTCACGATTACCAGGTGCTTTACCTCAATTCCAGAAAGGCCTTGAGCCAAGAGGATAGCCTGGGGTGGGTGAGGAGCAGCTAACTTAAGGGTAAAGCTCTCCAGAGAAGGCAGAGAGCACCACCTCCCCTTGACACTCTTCTCTCTGGTGTTGGAGCTATATGTAAAACATCACCTGGGCCGGGCATGGTGGCTCATGCCTGTAATCCTAGCACTTTGGGAGGCTGAGGCAGGTGGATCACCTGAGGTCAGAGTTTGAGACCAGCCTGGCCAACATGGTGAAAACCTCTCTTGACTAAACATACAAAAAAATTAGCCGGGCCTGGTGGCATGTGCCTGTAGTCCTAGATACCCATGGGGTGGAGGGAGGAGAATTGCTTGAACCCAGGAGGCTGAGGTTGCAGTGAGCCGATATTGCACCCCTGCACTCCAGGCTGGGCAACAGAGTGAGACTCTGTCTCAAAAATACAAACAAAACAAAAACACTTAACCTGCAATCAAGCCCGTGTCCCGTGCCTTGCTGATTCTGGCTTTGCCTAAGGTCGTGCTGAGCTCCATCCACCGATGTGACACAGGCTTGCAATGGATAGTGTGGGTAGATCTGAGAGCGGGGAACTGGGGGCCTGGGAAGGGGAGGGACACTTCCAAAGGGCTGCTCTAGTTTTGCCTTCAGGGGAGCCCAGGACCTGGGATCACATGTTGATGGCAGACAGAGTCAGGGCTGCCACTTGAATGCTTTCGGATCTGAAGAGGCTCAAAACAGCTCACTGGGTTCTTATGTATCTGAAAAGGTCACTTCCAGGCTTCAAGAAACAAACTGAAACGTGATTCTTGAACTGAATGCTTGGATTACTCATCCACCCGAAGATCTGGAGTGCAGGGCCATCGTGTTCTCTTTCGGCTCCTCCTCTGGAAACAGCATTTTCCTAGTCATTTTGGCAGGTTCTGAAGGAGGTCGCAGACCTGGGAGGCAGCTGGCAGAAAAGCAGGGACCCTGGACAGCCAGTGGTTCCCCACTAGGAATTCACTATGCATGACTCAATCAGAACCCATGTCACATCTCAATGTCAGTCGTGCTGCTGGGTCTGAGGTTCGGGAGTCCACCAGACACTCCCTAGAAGCAGAGCCACATGGGCGGGACCCTTACAGACCAAGCACTTTGCAACAAAATAACCTGTGTGAGTTGCAGGTGAGTTGTGGGGAGTCTCCCACTAATTTGGAGAGACTTTGTCTTTTTTTTTTTTTTTCCTTTTTGTGGAGAACGGGGTCTCGCTATATTACCCAGGCAGGTCTCGAACTCCTGGGCTCAAGCTATCCTCCCGCCTCTGCCTCCCTGAGAGCTGGGAGAGACTTTGAACAAGTTATTGAAATGATCTGAGCCAGTGGGGTTAATGAAACACAGCTCATAGGGTTTAGGGTGTGTGAAGTAAGCAGAGTCCCCATACATGATGGCTGTTTCTCTTGTGATGTCACCTCTCTTTGTATCCCTGGCTTGAAGGCCCTCCATACACTGGCACTTGGGCAGATACAAGTCTGGGAGTAACACCAAACCACTTTCTGCTTAGACTTACCAATCAAAGGGGTCATGCCTGATGTCAGGGGTCTGGGACCTGGGGACCTTGCCATATATACATCATGGCTTGGTAAAATTTGTCCTCCTCCCTTTTGGCCTTTGCCTTTTTTTTTTTTTTTTCTTAGAAGGAGTCTTGCCGCCCTCTCCCAGACTGGAGTGTAGTGGCATCATCTGGACTCACTGCAACCTCCATCTCCCAGGTTCAGGTGATTCTCTTGCCTCAGCCTCCTGAATAACTGAGATTACAGGCACCCACCACCATACCTGGCTAATTTTTGTATTTTTAGTATAGACGGATTTCACCATGTTGGCCAGCCTGGTCTCGAACTTCTGACCTCAAATGATCCACCTGCCTTGGCCTCCCAAAGTGCTGGGATTACAGCCTTTGCCTTTTGCTACAGAAGAGTCTTTATTCAGCAGGTCTATTCCCCCAGTCTCTTGGACAGACCTGCTATCCCTGGATTAGTTGAGCTGCCTGTTGTGCCCTCCTCCCTAGCTCTGTGAAGTCTTCTGGAGGTGCAGGGACACAGACTGCAGCTGAAGAAGAGCTGGCGAATTCGCCCCCCACCACCCACCCCAGAACACCCCTCCCCCCAACTCCCCTGCCCCTCCCATGCACTCAGCTTTTGCTCTGGGGATGCACAGGGAGAGCATCTTTAGCAAATGGTCTCAGTGACTCTGGGGGCCTCTCCTGAGTCCACTCTAATAGCGAGCCATTCCGGAACAAGTTCTTCTCAGAGGCGGCAGGGAGGCTGGAGAAGAAAGGACAGCCCAGAGGCTGTCCCAGGGCCAGGAGTGGTGATGGTGAGGGTAGGAGTCGGCAGAAGCAATCAGCTGAGCTCAGGCTTTGGAGGCTAGGGAGTAGAGCTTTAGAAACCAGAGGCCATCACTTAGCTCTGGAAAATCAACCACTTAAAGGGAGGCTGCCAGGACTCATTTGAAATGTGAGGCCAACACTGCGTGGGACAACATGACTGTGTAAGTAGGAAATGCGGAAGAATCTACATAAAACTGGGATTAAGGGAGTGAATTTAAAAGGTCCTTGATTCAAGGACTATATATATATAAGTCAAAAAGAGATATATATATCTTTTTCAGATGGAGTCTTGCTCTGTTGCCTAGGCTGGAGTGCAGTGATCTCGACTCACTGAGAACTCTGCCTCCCAGGTTCAAGAGATTCTCCTGCCTCAGCCTCTCGAGTAGCTGGGACTACAGGCATGCATCAACACACCCAGCTCTACTTTCTGTATTTTTAGTAGAGATGGGGTTTTACCATGTTGGCCAGGATGGTCTTGATCTCTTGACCTTGTGATCCACTCACCTGAGCCTCCCAAAGTGCTGGGATTACAGGCGTGAGCCACCGTGCCTGGCCTCAAGGTCAATATTTTAAAAAATCAACTGGATTTCTACATACCAGTAACATAAAATTTTTACAAAGGGCCAGGCGCAGTGGCTCATGCCTGTAATCCCAGAACTTTGGGAGACCGAGGTGGGCAGATCACTAGGTCAGGAGATCGAGACCATCCTGGCTAACACGGTGAAACCCCGTCTCTACTAAAAGTACAAAACATTAGCCGGGCCTGGTGGTGGGTGCCTGTAGTCCCAGCTACTCGGGAGGCTGAGACAGGAGAATGGTGTGAACCTGGGAGGCGGAGCTTGCAGTGAGCTGAGATCATGCCACTGCACTCTAGCCTGGGTGACAGAGTGAGACTCTGTCTCAAAAAAAGAAAAAGAAAAAAAATTTTTTTAAAAAGATACCATTTTACATTAAAAATACAAAATATCTAGAATAAATCTAACAAAAAGATATACAAAGTCCTTATATTGGAAAATACAAAACATTATTAAAGATATTAAAGAATGTTCATAGATTAGAAGATTCAATACTGTAAAAATGTCAATTATTCCCAAGTTAACCTGCAGATTTACTTAAATCTCAAACAAAATCCCAGCATATTTCCTTTGGTAGAAATTGATAAACTGATTCTAAAATGTATACAGAAACGTAAAGAACTAGGAATAGCCAAGACAATCTTAACAAAATTGGAGGATTATACTAAATAGATACTAAGATTTATTATAAAGTTACAATAATCAATTTAGTATGGAATTGGCAAAAAGATTGACAAATAGACCAATGGAACAGAAGGGAGAATCCAAAAACAGACCCACTCTTTTGAGGTCATTTGATTAATGACAGAGGTGACCCTGCAACATGCTGGGGGATGGATGATCTTTTTAATAAATATAGTTGAAATAATTTGATATCTGCATGGAAAAAAAAATGAATCTGGAAGAATGAGCTCATATCGTACTCCGAAATTATGCAGACAGATCACAGACCTCAGTGTGAAAGGTAAAATAATAAAGCCGGTGGGAGTGATGGCGGGCACCCGTAGCCTGGCTGTCCCTTCCCTCAGGTCCAGTGTGGTCATTCCGAGGGGCCCGGTTTGGTGGGCTCTCCTGGAGCCCACAACCTGCTGGGGCCTAAACCTGTCCACACTGATACGTCCCAGACGCAAATTAAACAATCAAGGTTTTCTTTGCCCAAAGTGGAATTCTTGATGATATAGATTAGGGGTAGGGGATTTCTAAAGATTTTGCCTATGGTAATTTGTCAATGCAGTGTGAATACAGTGGCTATTTGAAGGAAATACATCAAAATATTAGTTGTCCCATTTTCCTGGTGGGGCTACAGGTGATTTCCTTCTATCATATCTTTCTACTCTTTTTCTAAGTTTTCCT